AGATTAAAAGTTTGTTGTCCGTGCCCCTAACCATAAAATCAACAGACATTCACTATTTGTTGTTTCGTAACAGTTTTGCCCAGTTTACGAATCACTTTCCATATGAGTGTGCTATGTGTTGGCCATTAAATTCGCCAATTACTTCTTGCACTGCAGTAGGGTCAGCTAAAGTTGAGAGTTTTGCCAACCAAATAAATTCATTCCATTGTGATTTGCTTATTAATTAATTGTTTAGAGTTGGCGATCGCACAGATGAAAGTAGTCACCTCTGAACTTCGAAGTGGTAGGTTCGAAATTCAAAGAAAGGAATCTTCTTTCACCCGCCAGAGCAACGAATTAATCCTAAGTTTCTTCGTAAACAACCAACCAAGAAAGGGGTGGTAAGCTGTTGATCAGCAAGCAATTGGGACGGTAGGGTGTCCTGGTGTGTTCACACTAGAATGACTGCCAGATGATTGTCATGATGTCCGAAACGAATATCGTGTAGATGCAATTCGCCTTGGCCCACTTGCTAACTAACTACCCAGCGTTATAGTCACTGCCACGAGAAACCCCTGTTGTTGCTTCAGTATTTTTTTCTGATACACTGCAAGATATATAGTACGCTTTATTTTGCGTATGATGCTAACGCATGTTTGTTGACACACTTTTAATTGTTGTAATCAGGAAAAAAATGAGTACAGCTAGACTGATGCGTTGTTTAGGAGATAACTGAGGTAACTAGCGATATTTCATGGTAATGAGCTGATTTTTGGCTGGTGATGATATTTGCTGATTTATGGCCGATGATCTTTGGGGTGATGATATTCATGCAGTCAGCAATTCTATTCGATGTCATTAAAACGGCAAATTGTAACACTCATCAATTCACTTTCTTCGGCCGTTTATCTCAGAAACTGTTGGTGAAAGGTTGTTTAGTTTGCCCGACATATTCTGGTAATTAAAGCACACACGGAATCGAATCCAATACCAACGTACATAACGTCTAAGCATTCAGCAGTTTTTTTCCTAGTAACTTATTTCATACAGTAATGTTAAAAACTTCCAATGACTCGAAGGCATGTGATTTCAGGAGAACGGTTCCAATCGATTTAACAACCGGACTGCACAAGGGTCAGCTGATGTGCATGACGCAGTACTGGAATCTTTTTAAATCGTACCGGAAACCTGGACTTTCCGTTGATCAGCTGGAAACGGATACCAACTCTGACTTGAATGATAACGAGCATATTATCGTAATGCACGATAATCAGGTGACATTTTAATGATGAAATGGTTTATCTTATTATAACATTACTAGTGCTGGAATGCTAATTCAAAATGTGAGCAGTATGGTTTTGTTTTAGTATACTTCTTGTAAACTCTTCTCAGAATATATCAATGTATTAACGTGATTATAATTCCATTTTTTGTGATCATCTGAAGTTTTATCCAGTTCGTGATATCTGTTTGAGTGTAAGCCCTTCACATAGAGGATTACAAAACAATGTAAAACGCTTGTGTCGTTTATTTTATATAGCGGCCATATCATGAAGGAAGATCATACTTAAATGCCTCTTTAAAAGTTTCCCTCGTCGATACATTGCCAATCTTCAGGGCTTTTTTCCAGTCTTCTTTCCCATAGCGTTCTTGTTCCTAGTTGCTTAGTAGGACGCCTGAGAAGTCCATGTCCCACTATACTTGATCATCTGTTGGGTCAACAAGAAGAATCTCGCATTTTCTGTGGGATCGTGATGATGCATTGGCAAAAGAGGTTGGCTCTGAACTCCAGTTGTCGAGTTCGAATCCGCTGAAGACGTATCCATTTTTTTATCTGCGAGTTCCTATGAACAAGGAATTAACTCCACACTATTTTCCCACGCTCCACGCACAATCAGCCAAGATGAAAATGAGTCGATGGTATTCCGATCTGCTCATGCCAGAGTGGACGGAATGTACCGCCATGCTGTTCGATGTGAACGTCCCGGTAGCTGCATTTCGCCTTGACACATTTATGAGTTGATTATCCACTGTAACAATCAGCATAACAAGTAACTCTAGTTAGGACAATGTCGTATCTTGGTTGTCAGCAGCAGTAATTAACTATTTAGTTTTCGCAACAACCAAAATGAGGCTTCGTAGGCTGAGGTTCGTTGACAAGCGTTTAGCCCTTCAAAAACTGACTTCCTCCTGTATTATATCTCTGCAGTTGAGCCAGCCAGGATCCCTGTGGACTTCTGTGCCGTTTTTGGCTCAGTTTATGTCATCGTTAAATACAGATACAGGCGTTGACACAAGAACTATATTCACTATGATATGGCAGTTATTAGATTTACACACACTTCAAACACATATCGCCTGATTCCGCTTTCCACTGTCCGGCGGCAACGGTCTGTCCCGCAATTTATCTTCGGCTATAAAGAGTGTACCCCAGTACCCCTGATGAATTGTAGCTCGGAAGCGCGCGCGCATTATCTGTGACATTCCGCAGGAAATTGGAGGCCCGCCTCTCAAACATGGCGCAGGATGTGGTCATTACTTTCAACCGTCACTTT